ATTTTTCAGGAGTGATTTTAGCCATGCATGGTTTTTGCCTTCTATGCTAACTTTTGAGCCCTACAACTAGAGAGAAATAGGATTCCACTGTGCGGTGTTTTGAAAAAAGGCTTGTCATCCCTAGAATTTTACACCCAGGCAATTTGTCTTTCATGTGTGAAAACAGAGACATTCTCAGATATGAAAGGATTTCTGTATCCTTGAAAAAATTATTTGAAGATGTACTACAACACAGCAATAAATGAAGCAAATAAAGAGCATCGAGAATGGGGATATCACAGTATAGAAGGATCACTGCCGAGTAATTAATCAATTTAAAATAGAAATGTGCCTTAAAAAGACAAGGTAACTTTGCTTATAATACTGAACAATAAATCAAAAAATTGTTTTCCAAAGTACAACAATTTTCTGAACCTAAAATCCTAATATTAACACACTAAGGATGGGTAATAGAGAATAAAAGCATGTCAAACTTCTTGTGTTACATGTATAGAAATACAGGATACCATTTCATTTCTGATCTAAGAAGTCGTGAAATATAGGTTAAAGTGCTTTAGCAAAATTTCATGGTAACATAAGACTTTAAGGTAGAATGAAATACAGGGTATATATTATACAAAGCTGTGATGATGATAAAGCCCTGGCTGCCATCTTGACTGCAATCTATGAGAGATCCCAGCTAGAAGTACCCAGCTAAGCTACTCCCGAATCCCTGACTCATGGCAACTGTGTGATAAAATGTGTTTATTGTGGGCCGGCCAGTGGCTCACTCGGGAGAGTGTGGTGCTGATAAAATGTGTTTATTGTTTGTTATGGGCTGAATTGTGTTCCCTCAAAATTCACATGTTCAAATCCTAACCCCCAGTACCTCAGAATTTGACCATACTTGGAGACAGGGAGTTTAAAGAAGTGATTAAGTTAATATTAGGTCATTAGGGTGGGCCCTAATTCAATCTCAGTAGTATCCTTATAAGAAAAGGGAAACACCAGGGATATACAAGCACAGAGAAAAGGTCATGTGAGGACACAGCAAGAAGGAAGCCATTTGCAAGCCAAGGAGAGATGCCTCAGGAGAAGGCAACCCTGCTGGCACCATAATCTTACTGCCAGATTTTAGAATTGTGAAACAGTAAGTATCTGTTGTTTAAGCCACCCAGTCTGTGGTACTTTGTTATGGCAACTGTAACAGTCCATTTCTGTTGCTTGTAACAAAATACCTGGAACTGGATAATTTGTAAGGAAAACAAAATTTATTGCTTACAGTTTCAGAGGCTGGGAAGTCCAAAGTTCAGAGAACACATCTGGAGAGGGTCTTCTTTGGTGCTGGCTTTATAGCAATGCAGGGGTCTCACATGCCAAAAATGGTGGAGCAGAAAGAGAGAGACTCTCACATCCTCTCCTTTTAAAGCCCTCAGAACCATGCCCCTGACTCCCATTATTAATGCATTCACTACAGCATGGTCCTGCAATCTGTTCACCTCTTAAAGACCCTACCTTTCAATTACCATAATAGGATTTCCTACCCTCCCAACAGTCACATTGGGGGCCAAGTTTCTAATACCTAAAACTTGGGGGACACAATTCAAACTTCAGTGAGTTTGAGGGGGACATTCAATCCATAGCAGCAACCCTAGAAGACTAATATAATGTTTTAAACTGCTGTTTTGAGGTTATTTGTTAGATAGCAATATGAGAGTACCTCAAAAAGTTCATGGAAAAATGGAATTAAAAGATAATATGAATCTTTCCATAAACTTTTTGAAGACCTCTGGCATATAACTAATACAGACTCTTCATTTTTGAAGTTTTCCTCCTAATTTCTATGGAGAAGCAGAAAGAAGAGTAACAAAATAATCAACCAGGAAAAGTCACAAAGTTTTCAGCAATATTATAATGCTGACTTCGGTTTATTCCCTGATCTGTCTTTTCTGATTCTCTAAGACTGTTCCAGAAGTTTTCCTGATATGATTCTGAGTCTCCCAGCCACAATTCCTGAGGAAAGAAGATCACCCATCCTACCCCCTTGCACAAACCTCCCACCTCAGAATGCAATCAGAGATGAGGACACATGCTTATATATACTGTTATTTGGGGCAAAACAAATATAAATAAACTATATGCCCAACTCTAGGGAAAATCGTGCATATATTATAATACATTTTTATGGTAGAAAATCATTCAACCATTACAAAACACATTTACAAAGAAGTTCTTAATGATTGATCTGGAAGCATTCTTATGATGTATTGTTAAAATTTTTTAAAGTGAATGTGATCTTATTTCTGTAAAAAATATGTTGTCTTCTAAAATAGAATTGGACGTTGCTGGTAGGGATTATCTTTGGCTGATAGAATGTGGGAGATGGCTTTTTTCCTCTGTTTATGTTTTTATGATTTTGTGTTCTTTTAACAATGCATATGCGTTACTTTCACAATCAGAAAAAGCATTTTAAAGAAAAATGAAGAATCTTGTTTATTTCTCAAGACTACCCATTAAGACTCCCCAAATCCCCCTGTTAAAATGAATCTCTTTGCTCTAAATCTTCATTATTGTACATTACCTTGTATTATTATATTTCTTCATATTTGACATTAGCAGAGTATATTTCCTCTAGGCAGTTATGAATGTGTGCCTAACAGCAATAGCAGTATTATCCAGGCTTAGCTTTCCAGAAAATGACATCACTATTCTCTCACATTAGCATGATAACACCTACACACAGGCTTCCATTTTTGGAAGGCAGGTGCTGTGAGTTTTCTTCCCTGTCTCCAGTGCCATGCACATAGCAGGTGCTCCATGTGTATTCACTGGATGGAAGAGATTAGTCTTCCCATTGTAAACCTGTTTTCCAGTCAATCCTGAGAGCTGGTTGGGACAATCACATGCATCAGGTAGTGGGATATCAGGGGTACTGGTAAGGCCTTTTCCTCTTTCCTGAACTGATGTTATTACCCCAACCCACAGGGATGAATTTTCTGGGTCAGAGTGCTCCTGCCCCAGTGAGAATGGAAAGGGGCCCTGAAGCTATAATTCACTCCCTATGACATCATTCTGGAAGGCTGCCCAGAAAGCCACAAGGCAACACGGGGGACAAGGAGCTGGGACAAGGTAGAGGCGGCAGCCCCCCAGTCCTGGTGTGCCCTTCTCTCCATCCTGCTCATGGATATAGGAGCAAGCACCAGTGTGGGTTCAGCACACTTCCAGAGTGTGAAGCATTCTCTGAGAATAGTCTCTAAGACCCTGAGTGTCAGGCTCTGTCAGTGAGAAGAGCCCTTTTGGTTGGGTGGAGCCCTAAAGGCTGCATGGAGGTTGCAAGTGTGTCTCTCTGTACTGGCCTTTCCCTTTGTATCTTGCTCCTTTCTTCTCCCAAGTGGCTGAGCAGCCAGGGCCCCGTTTTTCCCTTCCCCAGTCCCAACACACACACCTAGAAAAAAGAAGCTGACACCAAAGTAGAAGCCAAGGGAGAGCAGCGCGGGGCACCTGTGGAGGCACAACATTGACCTGGACGGAGGGGCCCAGCCCACACAGCTCACAGGTCATGGGAACTTACAGAGATTTAGGACCACTGTAAACTTGGCAAGCATAAATCTGAGTTCCCGAACTAAATGAAATCTACTTTTCTGTAAATTCTACTTTGAGCTGCCATTCTACTAGGATCCAGATAGAAATTCAATCTCAATGTGGAGACATTACATCTGAATCCCAGGGAGCTTACAGTGTTAAGGAATTGGTGGCAGGGGTCAGGGATACAGTCTTTGGTGTTCTCGGCCACTCAGCACTACTCGACTGTCCCTTGTTCATTTTCTCATCAGAAAGGGGCTGCCTAAGCTCCAATGAAGAGGCCCCATGAGGCCTCAGCATCCAAGGACTTGCAGTTTCCCCAGAGCTTTGGCTGGGAAGCAGGGCTCCAGGCCCTCGACAGCATGTGCCCTGCACTCTTCTTTCCTCCCAGGGGACTCTGTTGTAGCTGAGGCATTACCAAGGGGTGGGGGTGGGGGTGGTTGGGGAGGCCATTAGATTAGTTTGCTAGGGCTGCAAACTGCAAAGGATCTCAAACTATGTGGTTTAAACAAAAGAAAATTATTCTCTCACAGTTCTGGAAGGTGTCGGTAAGGTTGTTTCCTCTGAGGGCTGTGAACAAGAATCTGTCCCGTGCCTCTTTCCTGGCTTCTGTGGTGTGCCAGTAATCTTTGGCATTCCTTGGCTTGTAGAAGTATCAACCTTATCTCAGCCTTCATCTTCACATGGTATTCTCTCCCTGTGTGTGTGTCTGTCTCCAAATTTCCCTTTTGTAAGGACACCAGTCATATTGGATTAGGGGCTCAGCCTACTGCGGTATGACCTCATCTTAACTAATTACATCTTAACCTATTACATCTGCAATAAACCTGTTTTCAAATAAGATCACATTCTAATGAACTTCAACATATGAATTTTGGGGGGACACATTCAACCCACAACCAGGGAATCAGCAGTTCATGGGGGAAAGGAGTTATTCTCTTTCCCTTAACTCCTGCTCCTCCTCAGGATTTTTATCTAAACATTTTGGCTATTCCCTTAGGACGTCATTCCTTTAAGCATTTTAGCATTTTAGAAACTAAGGCAAGGGCCTTCCCTTTCATTCTGCTTTCTGCCCTATTTTTTTTTAATAGGAGTTTTAGCTTCACAGAGAACTTCAACAGAAAGTACAGCTGGTTCCTGTATCCTTCCCATTCTGCCCTATGGTGTCCCTTCCCTGAGCTGCTGGATGAACAACAGCTTAGTGACTTGAATCCAGGCAAGAGCAAGAGGAAGAAAAATCAACAAACCAGTCAATATTCCAAAGATTCTGTCCTTCTAAATCAGTAAGCATGCTTTTCCCTGGAGTACTGAAGAGGAAGGCTAAGTCCAGAGGAGCTAGTGGGGGAGGACTGGGTTTCAAAACCGCAGTTGTGTCCTCTTCAGACTCAAGAGTTGACAATCAGACATCATTCCCTCAGCAAGTAAAAAGAAAGGAAGCATCTTTTTAAAAACACATTTATTTAAAAATTTTACATCATCTTTGGGTAATTCAGAATTAGCTTAGGCATGTTTCAGAAGTTTCTCAGACTGACGTCTCAGTTCCAGACCAACAGCAGTAGCTTATCTGATTGGTGGAAGGATGAGAGAGAACCTCATGATTTAGGACAAATAGATGACTACTGAAGAAGAGAGAACCCCTCCCAGACAGAGGCTTTCCGGCAGCATTCAGTCACAAATTTTAAATTATCTATCACAAATATTAAACACCTCACCAGACCAACAATAATACCCATATCTTATTTGCATTTTACTAGTTTCCACATATAAGAGAGCACAGAACTAAAAGTTCTGTAGAATTCAAAATCATACTTAAATTAATTTGATCCCTTATATTACACATAACAATTAAAACCTAGATTCTACCCAGTGTAGTCACAGTCTCCACACCAACGTATATCTCTTACTGACAGAATGCCACCTTCCTCGGCACTCAGTGGTCGTGATTCAAAACCACAATGTGGGTCAAACCAGAACATAAAGCAAGCCAAGAGTCCATGGACCCAGAGAGGGGTAAAGGGCTCCTCCCACGCAGCAGTCAAGCAGCCCAAATGCTCCACCACTCCCAAGCAGAATGAGACCTGAGCTGCAGGCAGTGACGAGGGGCCACGTTCTGCATCACCCACTGCCTCAGATGGTTTCCTGGGTGTTCCAAACAGGAGAGTTGTTGTCTCCCAATAGGATAGTTAATTCCCTGAGGAAAGGACCTCCCTCCTCCCCCTTTCCTGCCCTGTCCTCCCTCGCAGCAGGGTCCAGCCCACATGTGAGCACAGAGCAGTTTCTTAATAAAGAAAGGAAGACTAACATATATTCGGCACCTACTATGTGCCAAATGTAGGGCCAATACAGGTGCTTTCTTGTAACCCTCACAACAGCCCTGTGAGGTAGGATCATCACCTCCATTTTACAGACACAAAAACACAGGCTCAGAGAACAGAATTTGCCCAAAGTGGCACAGTTAATGAATAGGCAAGCATCAAATTGAAAACCCAGGGCTTCTCACTCCAGGGCTCTTTCTACTGCATACATAAGCCAAGGGTCTGGCAGTAAATGAATATCCTATCTCCAAGATGGTTGGTCTGGAGCTCAAACACTAGGGCCACTTGAGTATGTGGGGCCATGGTTAGGAGTCCAGAGGCCTGGGTCTGGGAGCTCTGGCCCTACAGCATGACTTTGTGACCTTGGGCAAGTCATTTAACCTCTCCACACAGGGGTCAGACAGGTCCAGTGTGGTTTCCCACCACAGGGAGGGGACTTAGCAAAACCATCTGGAGAGCATGTTTGCAAACCTCAGTGGGCCAGCTTCTGCCCAGCGACTCTGATGTTGCACCTTTGCAGGAGAGGTGAAGAAGGTGGGTGAGAATCAGTTATGATCTCCAAGGTTCTGACCTCTGAGAGCAATGTAAGTGCTAGGGAGCCACACCTCTGTCCCTGAGAGACCATCTGCAGAAGGCCCACATGGTCAGAGAAATTGAGGTCAGGACATTTTTAAAGCAGAAAATGCTTACAAGTAATTTGGGAGGGGAAGACTACCTTGGGGGGTGGGGGATGGCAGTCAGGAGGAGTTTTGGGGTAGGCATTAAAAAAGAAGAGTTGGAGTACAGTGTATAAACCTAGCTGGTAGGATGGAGACAGGCCAGGCCGAGCCAGGAGAAATCAAGTTTGGGGGTGTGGCTCACCTGGTGTCTGCTGTGGGGCTGCACTTGCTGCCTCAGATATGGGTAGGGGGCATCCTCTAAAAATATCTTGAGCTCTAAGCTCAAGCAGGTCTTAGAGAATAGATATGGGTAATAAAAGCAGAAAGGAAAACACAACTGAAGTCACTCAGACAAAATCTGCTTGACATGTTTCTCCTCTTCCTCTGAGACCCACTCCAATGCCCCAGCTCTATGAAGCCTTCTGTGACCCACAGACACAGCAAGTGTGCAGCCCCTCCTGGGTGCAGAGACAGCAAGCCCATCTCTCTACAAGCCCCAGTGCACTGAGCACACTGAATCCTAAGTGCCTGTTCAGATGTCTGTTTCTCCCACCAAACTGAGCAACTTGAGGACAGAGACTATCTTACTATGCCTTTCATCTCCACATGGAGAGGGAAGGTGGGCTAATCAAGACTCTTTGCTCATTAAGCACTCAGGCTAAAGACCAGCCCAACTAGCCAGAGCAAGAGGAACAGGTCTCAGGGACATGGACCTTAGGAAAAACTTCATTCTGGAGGAACCAAGCATGTTTCCAACCCCCCATAGCACTTATCTGCCCCCAGAGCCACTCTGCACTGGGCACAATCATAATTTGGGAAAGTTTCTTTAAAACATGAAATCAATATCAGTATCTGTTTCAAGCAATATAGAGCCATGGTTTGTGAGAATGACATCACTGAGTTGGGGAAAACAAAGCCCAGCTTTGGCAGCCCTGGTGGGAAAGGTAGATCTTGCATCTACCAGTGTGGAAGGAGAGGAGGATGCTGTCTGGGAAGAAGGCCATGGTTTGTGTCTGTGTGTGGTGGAAGTCTTTGGGCTCACACATTCTTTATGGCTACAGGCAAGAGAGGACCCGACTCCTTGCTCTCAGGCTCCTACAATCCCTGACTTCTTACCAACAGAAGCCCTTAGAATGCAAGATGCAGGCTGGGATTGTTCAGGAAAATGGTCTTCCTAGGCCAGGGTGGCCAAGAGACCAGCCATAAAATGCCTGATGGCAAAGAGTGAGGGGGCCTGGCCGGGGAACCCTCACTCAGCAGGAAATGCTCCGGAAGCCAGGCATTGTGGCTTTTCCAAGCAGGTAAATATCCTCGTCTGTGCCCTTGTTGAGATGCTTCACCAAATTTTTCTCAAAGAGGAGCGGGTGGTAGGCGCCCATTGTGCAGGCGATGTCAAAGAACCTCTGGTAGTAATAGCACACATCGGTCTTGCGCTTGGATGGGAGGAACTCGTAAATATCCACCTGGTCACACAGCGTCAGCATTATGATGATGCCTGGAGAGGGGAGCACAGGTGAGTCATGCCCACAACCCAGTACCATGCCCCAGAGCTCTGCCCAGTGGGCCCAGCAGTGCATGATCTCAAATCAGGAGAGATGTCCACCTGGTGTTTCTACCTATTCCTGTGATTCCCAGTCTGAGTTCAGAGCGTTCCTTGAGATAAAGACATGGATGAGCCTTGGGTACCTTTGTATCCCCAGCACCAAGACCAGGGCCTGGTGCATGATAGGTCCTCTGTAAATGCTAGTGGGATTAAAGGTCTCCATCAACCCATCAATGATCTTATCAATGGAATAAGCCATGTGAACAAAAGAGGACAAGACGACTGAACTGATGGAAGAGACAATACCATCACGTGGAGTTAGCCCTCTCTAACATTTACCTCCTGGAGGATTCTCTTGGACAGTGCAATTTGGGAGAAGGTTGTTTCTTAGAGTACTCGCATGAAACAGCAGCGGGGAGGGAAGACTTTTCTTTCTTTAGCTGGGAGGAGGGACAGTTGGAACAGGAGCACCCCGTGGTCTATACTGATGGATTGTGCTCATTCAGGCAGGGAGAATGGAGTCAAGGAGGTGTGGCCCAGGTTGGTGCTCTCCGCTGACATGCAAGTCCAACCAAGAGGCTGGAGACTCATGTACCACCCACACTTGTCCCCAACTGGCTGAGTTGTCTTGTGCAGGACATGTCCTTTCTCTGGGCCTCAGGCACTTCATCTGCCCCAATTAGAAATCTACCCAACCCTTCTACTGCATAGGTTATTGTTAGGATTAAATAATATGGTTGCAAGACTTCTTTTATCAACTATTCATACATAGGGCATCCTTATGATGGAGCAGCTTCCACTAAGAACAAAACTGAACTGCTAGCAGCAACTCTGCTCCAGAAGAATCAGATATGGGAAAAGCCCCATCTCTGCCCTCTGGGTCAGGGGGGGAGAAAAGATGGCTCTGTATCTGACTGACTGAAGTAGGCATAGCAGAAGTGTTACCAGGAATTGCAGGAGGGAGCACTTTCCACAGGAGGAGGCTCGAGTAAGCCTCCCAGAAGCACTAGTGTGGGGCGTGCGGGGTGATGGCTGTGAGGCTTGGGCAGAGGAGAGGATGGTGGTGGAGATAACCAGAATGAGCAAAGGCAGGGCAATTGGGCAATGGAGGGTGTGCTCTCAGGATGCCAACTACTCCTGCTCAACAGACCTCCAGGAAGAGCCCCGAATGCACCCATCCAAAAGTTAAAGAAAAAGGTACGAGGAAGACGGGACACCGTAAGAACCCCAATCTCTTTCTACAAGGAGTGCCTTTGATATTAAACACTTATTCATTCATTTACTCAGAGAACATTTACTGAAAGGCTATCCCATGCCAGACCCACAAAGATAAGCCAGGCACAGTCCCCACCCTGAAGGAGTTTGCACTCCAGCAGAGGGTGTAGGCAGACAAGTTACATGGCAGTGAGGGCTGGGGCCTGCCGGCAGGAAAGAGGTCCACTGTGAGGGCCCAGAGGAGGGAGCTTCCATCCCTACGACATGCAGAGCTGGAGCCTCATGGAAATTGCCCAGTGGCCCAGCCCAACTCAAAGAGAACAGGAAGGAAGAACAGATGGACCACAGGGTGTGGAAAAAGTCCAAGAAGAGTGTCTTTGGCCAGCATTCAGAACCCTCTAACCCCAGCCCATCCAAGATCAGCTCCCACAGCTCCACATATGCCCCCACACCCAGCCACACTCCACCACCCATTCCTCTCTCAGGGCTGTGACCAGGGCATTCTCTAGGGTGAACAAACGAGCCAGAGGAGGTATTACTCATTTCTCCTTGCCTCAAGCTCCAATATGACTGTGCAGAGCACTGCCCCTGATCCTGACTTTATTGAAATATTTGATATTTTGTTGATCACAATTTTTGCATTAATTGTGAATTTTAAAGGTATTGCATTAAAATATTATTTATCTTGATAACTGAGTTTTGGGGTACCCCCTTCAATAGTACACCCGAGACAAGTGCCTTGCTTGCTTCCTCTGTTTTCCTGTCTCTCCCTCTCGTCTGTGGGCTTCCCTTTAATCTAGCTCCACCTGTCAACTCATCCCCTCTCCAAGGCCTATTCCAGTGGCTACTTCCTCCAAGGAGCTATCTCTGACTGTCCAGCTAGCAGGGGTCCTCTCTCCTGTGACTCTGGCGTGGTCTCTCCCTCCTGGCACAAATTGTATGTTATCTCAGACACCTGATTGAACTCCCCCACTAGACACCCTAAAAGAGAATTATATTTTATTTAATATTTAATATATATATTTAATATTTAAATATATTTAAATATATAATATTTAATTATATTTTATCTCTGTATCTGAGACAGAACTTGGCACAGTGTACAAGCAAAGCAAAATCCTAACAATTATTTGGTAAACAAACGACTGGGTGAATGAATGAGACCCCAGGAGAAAGCTAACCTCCTAGAAACAAACACACAAGGTCTTTCCCCAGACATGGACTCACCAAGCATCCCGGAGGAGGGTGGGTTTGGCTGAATTTCTTCTGGGGAGATTTCTTGAAGGATGTCCCACAGCTCCCAAGGCATCTGGGGCTTGAGGATATAAAAGGGCTGATCGGGATGCAGCTTACGATAGCTCTTGTAGTTGTTAAAGAAACTGTAGTCGGGAGTCTTGTACCACTGAAAAAGAAGGATATGGTCTTCTCAAGGAGAGAAATGGGCCAGTGATCCCCCCAGGCAGCCATCCTCGTCAGAGGACTTGGGGAGGGGAAAGGACCAAGGTAGGGTCCTCGGAACATACTCCAGATTTCTCCTCCACATCACAGCTCACACAGGAGAGCAGAGTGGGCCCAGCACATAGCATGTGCTCATGGGGAATGTTGAGCTTGGTGACTCTGGAACAGCTTCACACTTCATGATCACAGAGCCTGAGAATGGTATCAGAGCTGAAAGGGACCCGAGGCACCATCTAACCCCATCGCTCATTTTTAAAGAGGAGAAAACTGGGGCACACATTGCCACATTTGTATGTTCAGAGTCCTTCTCCTGCCCCAGGCAAATTTGAGTTCTAAGCAAGATCAGTGCAAAATGCTAGGAACTGAGATAGTGGGAGTGCCGGGGATCACCAGAACCTGTCAGCTACTAGTGGACCCAACCTAAGAATTAAGTTGGGTCCCAGGAAGAGTGCTCTCTGCCCTTCCTCCTTAAAGCCATTCTCCTGAGGCCACTACAGCCCACATCAGGGAGAGGCCAACTGACATGCATAACAAACAGCGAGAAGTTGAGAACCCAGCAGGCCTGAGACTCATGTCCCCTTCCCTGCAAGAGCTGATGTTGCAGATCTGCATCCTCTGCTTAGTGAGTCAAGTCTTGGGACAGGCGACTTCCACTCTCCACATTCCAGTTTCCCCATCTGTAAAATGGGAACAACTGGGTTTCTATGTACTTCTTCATGTTGTTGTGAGTGAAATGAGAAGAATTCTGGAAACTGGAAGCGTGGGACAAAAGTGTGGTAATATCATTTATAGGAGAAACGGTAACCACTGTCTATTCTTGCTGATGCTCATCAGGAATAACTGCATTCATGAACACAATCCACCCCAAATGGTAAGAAATCCAGCCACTGTTACTCCCAATACATGCCATAATTGGAGACAAATACGTGGCAGTGCAGCTGGTAGAGGACAGGAATATTTCTGATTCTGCTAGTCCAGATGAAGTGTGTGCCCTAAAACTCAAATAGCCAGCCCTCAGGGATGGCTCAGCTCAGCCATGACTTTAAAAATCTAGGAACTCAGGAAAATCTGTAGGCAAACAGGAGGCTTGATCCTTATTTCCCATGGACAGCCACTTACCTTTGGGATATCCGAATGATATATAGATGGGTCCCACACAATTAGGATTCCTTCATTGTACAAACTGTCCTTGAGGAAATGCTCATCTGTGGTGACCAACTGCAGGAAGAAAGAGACAAGCTGCCAAATGAACATTTACATAAACATTTGACTCGTGGCAATAAGTGACATCACAAGGTACCACCTGAGGAAGTAGAGCCCCCGTGGGGTTTCTAAGTTTTGGCGCAGCACTTCAGTGAGAAGAAATGTAGTGGGTTAGAAATCTTGATTCTCCTTTGATCTTAGGATAGGATTTTTAGGTAATGCATGAATGAGCCAAAAGGCTCTTGAGTAGGAGACAAAAGTCCACAGATAAGGTTGGCAAAAGCCATCTAATCAATTCTAATCACTGTTTAGGGATGAGATTGTGTACTTTGTTTTAGGTGGCTGGTTTGATTTCAGCTCGAATGGCCACTGACTTTAACCTACTGATTGTTCTTTAGATATGTTAAGGAAACTGCTTGAATGCTGTTTAAATATGCTAAAGAAATTGCTGTAGGAAGTATGTAAAAAAGAAAACGTTTGCTAAAGACAAGCTGTTTGTTGGTGAATTGACCTAACTTTTTACAAATTACATTCTGGAATGTCACATTGTTAATTTACTGCGGTTACTAGTTTTACAGTGCCTGTTTTTATGTCCTTTTTTGATGGTTGAATCAACTGATTTTTCTTGTGAAACTTCCTTGTCTTGTCAATAAAAAGAAAGGCTGATTTTGAATCAGGGCTGCTGCTTCCCTCATGGGCGGCAGTCCCTCCAGGCCTCATTGATGGTACTTTGAGTGAATTCTTTCTTTCTCTTTTTTCCATCTCGGTTATACAGAGGAAGGTGTAAGAAAGAAAGTAAAGATGCCAGCCTGAACTGTGTTGACCTGAAAGGACATTTACCACAATCCATCAACCACAGAGCAGAAAGGGTTCCACTCAGACTTTGAGATTATTGGGACAAAGGTACAGTGAAAATGGTACAGTATCCTGGTCCCTTGGAGTCACAGGAGTCAGGGGAGTAACGTTTTAAGTCAGAATCTCATGTAATTAAAATGATCTCTGGAAATGCCTTCAATCGCGTATACAGTTCAGCACACAATATGTACACATCATGATGAAGACCAACATACTACCTTTCATGAAGTCCAATAGCTTCTGCAGCACTTGAACGGATCCCTTTGTCTGTGGTTGGGCATCAGAGGAAGTATTTGGTTTGGAGAGAGGGGCCACAGTGTATGAAAAAATATACATCTTTAAACACAATAATCTCATCAGGCTGGTGAGATGCTCACATGTGACCTGCTGGGGGAACCAGCCCCAGCTCCTCTCCCCAAACACACTGGCTGCTGGGCTGGCTGCACTCAGGTAGTTAAACCCACCTGACTTAAATGCTTCAATGTGAGTGTGATTAAAACTCCTGTGGACAACCCTGCTGGAACAATTTTGCTAACTGTATTAAAAGCTTTTAAAAGAAAAAAAAAAAAGCATACTTATACTCTGACTCAATAATTCTATATTTGGGGATCTGTCCTAAGAAAGAATCCAAATATAGGGTGAAAAATTATGCATGGAAATATCAATTAAATTGTTTATCAAAATAAGAAAAGTATGGTAGCAGAAGGCAAAAAGACACTGGCCTTGGAGAAAGGAAGGTCCAAGATCAACTCTTAGTTTTGTCACTAACTTATCCTGTGACCATGAGCAAGTTGGGTAATCTCACTAGGCCTTCACTTTCATATGAAATGGGAATAACAGACTTGCTCTACTCTCTCAAACAGGAGCTGTTGTGAGGACCAAATGGGGAACAAGAGTGAATGAGAAAGACAGAAAAGTAGCCCCCAAGGCTTAGCAATGAAGGGAGCCAAAACTGATATATGAGAACAGCTTTCAGACCTTCATCTTAAAAAAAAAGCCAGTGGGAGATGACGTTGCCCAGGTGAAAACTGAGAGAAACAAATGGCAGAAATCAAAGTATGAATTGACTGAAAATGAAAGCAAGATTCACAGTAGTAATTCCTCCCACCTCGATCACCATCACCCAAGGTGAGACCTAATCGATGTCACTGCAGTATTTGAAAACGACTATAGCAAGGGAGATCATCTGTGTGCAAACAAAAGACAGCAGTTTGTCACGAGCCTCTAAGATCATTGAGCTATCGCATCCCCATACCTTCCCCTCAGATGTAGGAAGCCATGGAAGCCTCAAGAATATACTCTCATTTCCTCAGTACATTCTTGAGATTAGAAACATTGCTGGTGGGCCCACACCAGCCAGGGATTACACAGCTGTACAAAGGAGCCAGAGGTAAGACGCAGTCCCTGCCCTCCCATTCTTGAGATTAGAAACATTGCTGGTGGGCCCACACCAGCCAGGGATTACACAGCTGTACTAAGGAGCCAGAGAGGTAAGACGCAGTCCCTGCCCTCCAGGCAGTCACAGGCTAGTGGGAAAGGTGGATTTGTAAACAGTGACTAGACACATTGTGACAGTGTGACAATAGAAGCAGTGTGAGGATGGCCATGGCGTGAGTGAGTGTGAAGGGACAAACAAGAACACGCCAAGCCAGGAGAGCGTGAGGGAGAGAGGATGTCCCAGACAGAGGGGACACGTGCAAACCCCTGGGTGTGAGAGGAGGGAAGAGACTGCTAAGTGTCCTCCAGTATCCTTTCTCTCTTTCTTCCTGGATAACAAACACCTCTGATTTTGACCTCGGCACATGGCTACCTAAAATAGACTTTCTGAAACAAAAATTTCACAGCCTCTTTTGCAGCTAACTATGACTGTGTGACTAATTCTGGTCAATGGTGTGTAAGCAAATGTGACTTCCAGAAAGTGTCCTTAGGGGCAGGGTTATGCTCTTCTTTGGTGCTCGCTCTTTCCTGCTGGCTGAAATGTGGATGTGATGCCTGGAACTTCATCTTGGACCAGGAAGTGGAAGTCACACACTGAGAATGGCAAACCACAAGTAGGAGAAACCTGGAACACTGTACCAACTCCAGAATGCCTATCTCTGAACTTCCTTTACAACAGAAAGAAATATATTTTTGTGTTGTTAAGCCAGTGGGGAGGGATGGGTAGAGTGTTCCTGTCATTTGCAAGCCTAATTTTGACAAGTACAGTAAGTGCCCTATTTGAAAATGCAAGTTGTTCAATATGGCTAAGATACAAGGAAAGAGCTTAAAGGATCAGAAAAATGTAGGCAGGGGCCATGCAGGGAGCTGTTTCTTCAGTAAGTTACAGGGATCAGTGAAGGCTTTTAAGTGAGGAGGCTGTAAAAAGACTGAAGTTCTGGACGAGTGTTTTTAGAGAAAAGGAGACCAGACAGAAGCTCTCATTGTAGCCTAAGTAAGAAATGATGGGGGAGTGGAGACAGAGTTACAGCTGTCAGTTGTAAACCTGCAGTCTAACTGAATGTTGAAAGTGAAGGAAAAGGTGCTTAAAAGTGACTTCTGGACCTCAGGCCACTTGCTGCTTTAATAACATGGGAAAAGGAGCAACTACTATGTGGCTGTGGGAGTGGAGTGGGTGGGGATTTGAAGCTCAAGGACAAGACATAGGAAGCAGGGATGGAAACTATATCTTCTAACTTTAACCACATCCTCTTTCCATTGGGCCCATTGTAACTTATAGCCCAAAAGCAGAGCAGGCTTCCTGGTAGACAGGGCTTTTTGAGACGGACTTGATTGAACTGGTGACAGGGAGTCTCCAGAAACAGGACCTTCCTTCCACTGTTCTACACATGTCTTCAAAGGCTGACTTCTGCACCTGCCCTCCCTCTCGCCACCCCCCAGAAACAGCTGGCATATTGAAAGCAATAAGTCTTTTCTTTAGCTATGCTTCGCCATCCTCAGAAATCTCAAGAGACGCACAAAGCTTTCTCCTTTACAATAAATGATAACAGATGCCATTTAGTGATGTTTACTACATGCTAGATATTTTCATATATTATCTCAGTTCATCTTCACAACAGCCCTAGGAGGTAACTATTAATATGTCCATTTTATAAATAAGGAAATAGTCAAGCTAAGTAACTTGCCCAAGTTCCATAGCCAGTAAGTAGGTAAGTCTGCATTTGTGCTTTATGTCTGGCTCCAGAGGCCATACTTCTAACATACATGCTACACTGCCTCACACAAAGAGGGAAGGGTGGGGTACCCACAACTCTGGGGAGGAGATGTCAAAGCATTTCCTGGGGAGGATGGAAGTGTCATGAGAATTTGCTTCTTGGCTGAAGATCCTTGAGGGACTGAATCCAAACCTGTTGTTTTCCAGATGGGTAAACTGAGGCTCAGAGAGAAAAGAGACTTTTCTGAGGCTGCAAGGTGAGTTTCAGGCAGACCCCAGAGGTGGCTCCTAACAGAGTGTTCTTTGTGCTCCAGCAGGGCTACACTCATAAACCCACCAGATAGTCCTCCTGTACAAAATGAGAAAATGGTCATTCACTGGAACTACTGGAGATGAATGAAAAAGCAATCCATGAACACGAAACTGGGAAGAAGTGAGGATACTTTTATCCAGAGAGGAGAAAAAGAAAGTGGCAGGGGCTGCGATCTGGAGGAGGGAAAGGGGAGAATCTAGCAAACAGTCCCTCCCCCAGTCTTAAATGGACATGGCTCTGAATTTATCCACATTAATTCCCTTTACGTTGGGTTCAAAGATTTCCTCAAAAACAAAAACAAACAAACAAAAAACTGCTTCAAAACGGTGCAGGGAATTGGCAGCATAAGTTCCGGCCCTGCCCTGGGTCTAATTCGCTCTGTGATCTTACCCCACTTTCTGTCTCCTGGCCTCAGGTGCCTTACTACCCTGTAATGTAGGACACTGCCACCCTGTAAGGCCTGGGGACCAGCCATGCCTGCAAGAACAAAGCTCTTCTCAAATGCCCCTGTACTTACCTGCACAGGGAATGTGACCCAGGTTTGGGGATCCTGGCAGGGTAAGGGGGGAGGCTCATGATGAGGAGAATAAGTCATTGCTATAGCAACAGAGCCCTGGGGGAGCATCTGCCAGGAAAAGGCTACACCAGGGACATGGAGCACTGCTATTTTAGAAACTCTGTTTAAAGTAACATTTC